ATATCACACTGTTTTAATTACTATAGCTTTGCAATATAGTTTGAAATCAGGGAGGGTGATACTTCCATCTTTCTTCTTACTTTTCAAGATTGCTTTGCTTATGCAGGGCCTTTTATGGTTTCATATAAATTTTAGGATTGTTTGTACTATTTCTGTGAAAAATGCAACTGGAATATTGATAGGAATTGCAGTGAATCTATATATTGTTTTGGGCAGTATAGACATTTTAACAATATTAATTCTTCCAATCCATGCATACTGAATATCTTTCCACTTATTTGTGTTTTCTTCAATTTTTTTCATTAATATCTTATAATTTTCAATATACAGGTCTTTCACCTCCTTGGTTAAATTTATTCTTTGATATTTTATTCTTTTTTATACAATTGCAAATGGGATTGTTTTCTTAATTCTCTTTCTGATAGTTCATTATTAGTGTAAAGAAACAAAATAGATTTTTGTATACTGATTTTGTATCCTGCAACTTTACTGAATTCATTTATCAGTCTTAATAGTTCTCTGATTGAGTCATTAGGGCTTTCTATATATATTATGTCATCTGCAAATAGTGACCTGCTTAATATTTAGTAGGTACTCAATAAATACTTATGGAATTAATAAATATCAATTTTTTTTCTCTTCATTGCCAAGTTTCTTGAAACTGTCTTCTTTTTCTTGCCATGACTCCTCTCCATCTAGTTCCTCCCCTTCTCCATTCTACTGAAATTATTCTACAAACCCCCATTCAGGAAATCCAGCAGCCTTGTCTGTCTTCATATTCTTTGACCTGTTGACCTGTCTGCAGCATCTGACACTGATACCAGCACCTACATCACAACATAGTTCTGGCACTTGCTTTTACAGAAATAGATGTTCTCTGGAATAGGTATTTGCTAGAATTCTTTGCTTAGATCTGTTCTATCCTATTCTCCCTCAGGGATTTCGGTCATTCTCAAAGCTTCAGCCATCTGTACTATCATCACTATCACTTTGCTAGGTCATTCTTTTATTCTAAGCTCCAGGATTGTTTCCATGTACCTGAAACCCAATTCCAAATGGACTGTGCCTTGGGACTAGGCAATTTAAAACCAATCTTCCTCCTCTTCATGGTGGCGACTGAAAAGAGCATCTCTGACTTATTTGTGGGAACCACAGCAGCATTATCCCAGTTACCAGTCTTAAAACATTAAACGTTACTTTTAATAGTGAATCTTCCTTTGCAGATAAGTTGCCAAGTCCCACAGATTTTTCCTCTAAGGTCTCTCACATTTCTCCCTTCCTATTTCAATTGTTACAGTCTTGTTCAGGCCGAATTAGTACCACCTAGACTGCTACAGTTTCATAACTGGTCTTCCTACCTCTACTTCTTCCCATTTAACGAAATTAATCTCCTTACATGAAGCTTCACTGCACATTACTTCTCTACTGAAAAATCTTCCCAACTTCTCATTTCCTATTGAATTAGGACAAATTCTCATGCTAGTATTCAAAACTCTTACATGTCTAATTCTAACTTTCCACATTACTCTTCTAGCTTCAAACTTTAATGTGCCTCAGGATCACTGATTTAATGCAGATTATAGGGACTATCCCCAGAAGTTCAGATTTAGTACATTTGGAGTGGCACCCAGGAATTTTCATTTTTAACAAGTATCTGATTCTAATGCAGATGAACTATAAATCACTTTTTCAGAAATACCATTCTAGCTCCTCCCTAAGATTCTAAGTAAACTGGCCTACTCATGGCTCACCAAATCTGCCTTGAGCATGCTTAGAATGCTTTCCACTAGTGAGATAGTTAACCTATCAAACTGTTTACCTATCAGATTGGTAAGAATTTAATTGTTTGATAAGTACACTGCCTGGATAAAACTAAAGGGAAATAAGTTCTATCAAAAGGGAAATAGGTTCTATCAGACATTGCTGATGAGAGTGTAAACTGATATAATCTTCAGAAAGAAAAATTTGGCATTAGCTATCTAAATTACAAATGCATGTTTCTGACTCAAAATTCTAATTATAGAAATATAACCTACAGGTATATTCATACATATGCAAAATAACACATGTACAAGATTATTTATTGAAGTTTTTTAAGCAGAAGTTTGAAAATAACTAGAATGTCCATTAAGAGGGACTAATTAATTATGGTACATCCAGAAACATTTTTTAAATGCAGAAGTTTATGTATTAATATGGGAAGATTTCCAAGGCATTGTTAAGTAAAAAAAAGAAAAGCACTATATACAGAATATGAATAACATAACAACATTTGTGCAAAGAAAAAAAAGAGGAAGAAAATAATATATATTGGTATTGTATTGTTAAAAAAAAGATCTCTGAAAGGATAACTAACTGCTAATACTAATAACAAACTAATAAAACTAATTTGGGAGTATGTGGGAACTGGGATAATGGAGAACAGGATGGGAAAAAGACTTTTCATACTTTTATTGTTAAAAATATTTTTAATCAAAGAAATCTTAAAAATAAAAAATAAAAATATAGATAACTAGGCTCCATTCTCAGGGAAACCAATTTTGTAGGTCTGGAGTAAGCCTAGGACTGACTATATACTGTTTTTAAGAGCTGAGAGCCACTGCTATAGAATTTCCTAAGCAAATAATCACTACCTGTCTCTTCATGGCACTGATGAATACTGTATCTAGTCTTTATGTTTTGTTTTTAACAGTTTTGGTAGAGCATACATTACTAATCCTAAGGGGATCTGGAGGCTAAAAAAAAAAAACAAAAACAAAAAAAACAGACTAGATATACTGAGAAAATATCACAATAGAGATGACAACACATTTCCGAAACAGATCTGCCTTGTCTGTCATCTCAACTAGCAACCTGCTCTTCTCTTTCTCAAAAAGAATGCCTTTAGTATAGACCCCTTTCATTCAAAGCTTTCGGAGCTTCATGGCTGCTGATTTAAATGATCATTTTGACATGCCTAAAAGGCTAGGCGCATCATAGGTACTAATCTGTGGCTTTAAAACCATAGCTACATTCCTCATTACCAAAGAGTCAGGTTCAATAAAGAGGAGTCATTAGGAGGATTGTAAAATCTAAAAACCTACCATACAGAATTCTGTAGTCAACAGTTTAGGCAGAATCATTAAGTAAATAACACTATAAAGCATCCATCCTCGGGACTTGGTATGATGATGTCTTACTATTTTTTTCAAGGTAAGGGTAGGGGAAGAAAGATATAAAACATATGTGCCCTAACTCTTATCAGCCAACCCTATGGTCAGGAGTGGATCTTAGATACATCCTTTAAAAGAGATACATCCTTTAAAAGATTGTTAAAGCAAATATCAAAAGCCCACAGGATGCTTGAAATCTGCGAGAAGTATTATCTGAGTCATTTTCCATAACTTTACAGAAGCTTCATCCTTACTATATCCCCACCATCTTACTATAATCATAAATGAAAGCAAATTATGCAAGAGATATGGCTTCAACAAGAGAAATCATTCCAAACAGGAAGGAAAGAGAACATTTACTGAACAACTGCTATGTACATAGCCAGGCACTATGCCTTGCATTCTTATATTTAATTCTTTATTTCAGCCCCATAAAAATCCAATGAGAAATCTATTTCAAAACCCAAACTGAATCTCAGATAAGTACCTAATGTAAAATCAGAGCTGTTAAGCGATAGAGCCAGAATTGAAACCCGTGCCTAACTTCAAAGCTTATTTTTTTCTACTATACCCAGATGCCTCTCTTAAATAGGAACATTTAAGAAGAAAGGTTTAAGTACGAGATAATTTAAATGCACTTGGCAAAATGAAACCTCTGCATTCATCCATATAACAAATATTTAAGAAGTAGTTATTCTGTTAACCACTGGGCTATACATGTTACACTTGAATAAACTGAGACTTGAGAGATTAAGGAACTTGTCCTAGGTCACAAGGCTATTAAGTAATGGGATGATCAGAATTTAGACTGACATCAGAGACCATGCACTCAAATACACTATACTCCCTCTCTAAAATACAAAGGAAAACATGAGTGTTGTCTATTGCAGTAAAATATTTAGGTCATTTTAAATTCCATACAATCTTGAAAGAAAATTGTTAGTGATTCTTAGTAAAGAGTCCACTAGGTGAAAGAGGGAAATGTTTGTTCTTTTCTCAAAGTAGTTTCAAAGATTTATGCATATTCATCTGGATTATGGATGGTATTAAATAATATTCTTAACTTCCTTGATAATATTACCTAACCTTACATAAGTTTAATGCTTTTTAGGTTTTCCAAAATGTTTTCTGATACAACCATCAATACATTAGTACACATATATTATTTTATCTGATACAACCATCAATAATTTCCCATCTTTATTCCTACAGAATAAAGCCAAAAGTCCTGGAATCTCCTGAGATCCCTCACAACTCCTCCTTTCTAGCTTAATTTGCTACCAGTCACACTCACAACACTTATGTTTCAGCTACGCTATCCCCTGAGGATTCCGCCTTTGATCATGCAATTCCTTTTGTCTAGAATGGTCCTTATTAACCATCTAGTAAAGTCCTACTGAACTTTTGAGAGCTGGTTTAAATACCTTCCCTATGAAACCTTCGGCTCACTGAATTAGTCACTCCCTCCTCTATGACTACCAAATCCTTTTTTACACAACTCTAGCACAGGATTTATTATAATTATTCACGAGTTTCTTTTCCCCAAGAGATTGAGCTTCTTGAGAGTAAACATTGTCTTTCTCATCTTTGTAATCCCTAGTGCCAAACTCACAGAAAGTATTCAATATTTATGAATTATACTACTAAATCAGGAATTAGATGATGGAAGTACATTCAAGTCCCATACTAAAATGCAAAGTTTATACTTCAGTTTTTACAGCTGTCAAATAAGAAATTTTGAATTCAGCAGTTACTGCAATGACTATGCTTCCTAATCAATTTAACAGATAGGAATATTTTGAGAGTTCTTTAGAAGAGTCACAAAAAAATCCAAAAAATTGTTATTACCTCCTCCATCATGGCATCCTGTGTGGCTGAGATTTCTCCTTTGGTTGCTCCACTGTGTACCAGGTTCCGTAGTCGTATACAGAACTCTCTCATCTATGACAGAAAGTTATTCGGCACTCCAATATTTACCCAAATTCAACTGTAAATGAGCTAACAGACCAACATTAGTTCTATTTTGAAGTGTTACTCAGCCAAGATCTAAGGCAAAGTTCATAAAAGCAAATGTGTTTTTCCCCACCCAGTCCACTTAAACGCATAGCTAAAGTCACTTTCCATAAAAATGAAAACACATGGATTATTCCCCCAAAATATTAGACAAATAGCTCCTGCTCTGTAACAGATGGTACTCTCTGTGACAGTACATGCCTGGCTATGAGGAAAACATCTAATTCCATAATGCCCATGACCCTAAGAAAAAGCAAGAAACTTAAGATGATTATGCCATTAAATCATTCTAATAGATTTTTATTTAGAATTTTACTGACTCTATTTCTCTGCCATATTATTGTGACCATGGCTATGTCAACCCCCAATATAATTTCATCTTTGTTGTTTTCAATTTTGAGATATTGAAAAAGGTGTCTCAAATCTAACCATGGTGCTAAAGAGGATCTTGCTCCCATCTGAAATGTACCCAGTGATCTTTTAGATTGATAATAATCTCTCCCCCGCATTTCCTGGTTGGGAAATAATCTACTTCTAATATGGGGAAACACATCTACAGTTTATTTTAAAATGCAATCTTTCTCCCAAGAATGACAAATCCAATTTTAGCCTCATAGATCAGGACAGCAGGTTCTAGCAACTTCAAGTTCTCAAAAAAGATGTCTGGCTGGCAGAGAAGCATCTCCAAAGGATTTACAATCCTCCTTAGAAAATGGGTTACACAGACAAGAGAGAATGATTTACTAAGATAAATGAAGCAATAAAAATCAGTTCAGTGACCACATCAAATCTTTAATGTGTGAATAAACTACACTGATGTGGTTTGGGGAAGCCTCCGAACTCAGCATCCTCTTTAAGGAAGTCTCACAAATAGTTCTTTTTGGTTTTACTAGTACATAAAGCTGTCCCAGCCAATCTCCACTAGATTGAAGTGACAAGCACAGGACCCAGTGTACTTCTGGCCCATATTAATTGAATGTAGGACTTACTTTCTTGAGTACAAATAAGAAAACATTGAAATCAATAGAAATAAAAGTGGAAGATTTTTAAAAAGAAAAAAAAAAAACACCCTAATCTCAATTATTTTTAAAGGTAATACGTAGCTCCATTGCCTCTTAGAGACACTGGGGTAAGCTATCTTGTATACAGACTGTGTACACTGAAATGTCCAAGAATCCCCTTAGAAAATCAGTTAGGAATTTTAAGATAAAGTACACTAAATTCTATCCCATCCTGTTCCATATGTTGTACCTTGTGATTCAGAATATCATTCATCCTTCTGGTTGCTTCTGTTGTATGAGATTCAGGGAAGCACTTCTTAGGGATAAGACCATATTTTTCTAAAAGAAAACAAATTTTAGTGTTCAATAAGGTAAAAGTATACTCCAGCATTAGAAACCTTGGCAAAAATAGCTATGACTTTAAGAAATAGGCCATATTTTGCTGGTTTAATTCAGAAAACTTAACAATCTTATGCTTTATATTATTAAACAGGTTAATCTGCATATTTATCCATCTATCTTAGAATTAATTCTGTTCTTTTAGCTTTCATACTTTGTAAAGTGCTCAGAAATAATCAGGTTTTTCCAAAAGACAACCCTTTATAGAAAGGACATTTTCAAACAGTTGCAGTTTCAATGTGTTTGATTATATCAATGGACAAGAGATAAGCTCTTTCATAGGCAAAAAGCTCTAGTTAATGCAACCTTTACTTCTCCAACCCACCCTTCATAGTATCTCCTTATCTCTCATTTAAGAAAGGTACTTTGTAGGTGACAGTGTGAGATAAAGTTCTTAAAGCTAACTATATACCATTCTGGGAGACCAATTCTACTCTGTACACAGCCACCAAAAAAATGGCCTATGCCTAACTAAAGAGTGTTGCTTGATCATGCTGAGTTTTATTTCTATTAGAGAAAGGCTCTTACCAATAATATTGACAAGCATATCCCATTGTCCACCATCATTTGCAGGATTTGTAAGCAAATACTGTACCAGCCTGCCATCTTCAGGCTCCTTTTTCTGGGCTGTGTCCACAAAAGCATTTAAGAAGAAATAACAGCGTTCAACCTAGAGTAAGAAAAGTTAAATAAAATTAAAGGAAAAGAGACTAATACCTTTATTTGCATTATCAACAGAACAGGAGTCTTGGAACTACTGTAGACCCAACCCAGCAGGTTGTTTTTATTCAATTTGAGTATAATTGACATATTAGTTTTACGTGGGGTTTTGGGGGGCTTTTTTAAATTGAAGTATTACTAATATAACATTATATTAGTTTCAAGTATACATAGTAGGTATTTTTAAACTAAAGTTGGTAATTAAGACCAAATAACCTAAATAAATATGCTAAAAGGAAAAATTGTTGAAAACAAAATAAAAAGTTTTAAATAAGAAAGAAAAAAGGAAGCAGTAGGGTGAGTCCGTAGACTTATTATTTCATTGCAAAAAGTAGCCACCTACCAATCAAAAGCAATTCTGCCTTTGAAAACAGTCAACTTTTGATACTTTGGAAATCAAATTAATGGTGTCACATCTATAATGAAAGGCAGACTACAACGGGAAAAGGAAGAAGTGAAGAGAAAGTCTCTATCAAGGTTGATATTGAAACAAAAAGAATCTTTCAAGATCAGTCCCATACCTTGTCCCAGAAAAAGAGGTAAGATTGACTAAACTCAAATTCTTCGATATTTAATTTTTTCATGAACGGAAGTCTCATAACGTTCAGACATGAAAAGATCCAACATCGCCCTGAAACAAGAAAGCAAACCGATAAATTATGAGTGTTCATGTAGATTACATTGTTCCAACTATATTTCCCAATGATGAACCTAAGACAAGATCTTGAACAATATAAGACTAAATCAGAAAGAAAAAGATTAAAAACAAACCACAAAACAAGAAAAATAGTAATTACTATTTGCAATATATATATATGTGTGTATATGTATATATATACACACACATATATATGTGTAAAGGTTTAATATCCTTAACATACCAAAAAAAAAATCTCTTTACATATCACAAAAGAATCCATTACGAATCACCTAAGAAAATTACATTTAGAAATGCTGCTAGAAAAACATGAGCAGAGATCATGAATGGGTAAAGACTGAAAAAGATACAAATGGCAAAAAGAAAAATTGTTAAGTTCATCATAAGACACCTGTTAAGTGGGGAAACATTTTTTAATCGATAATGTCCAATACTGGGGAAATAACATTATAATACACTCTGGACAGGGATCTAAACAGGTATTAAATATCTGAGGGCAATTTGCCAATATGTGGGAAAAGGTTTGAAAAGTTCCTGCCCTTTAATCTAGAATATATAGTATATGCTTTACTATAAAGTGACTCTAACATAAGCCATTCCCCGTTCTCCCAATGAAAAAGTTTTTAAAAGTTGTTTAACTGGATTACATAAACACTTAAAGTACAAATGAAATAGTAACTATCGCCTATAATATTTAAGTTAGTAATTTAAATATATAGATATTTTAAGTCATGTTAACATAATAGATTGATGTAGAAGCACTGCTTTTTCCATTTTCACATGTCATTTTCAAAGTCATTCATATTCTTCACATGCATCTTGGCATCAGTGCCTTTGCCATGATTAGATCCACCCTTTCAATCAGAACTCATCTTTCTTGCATCAAGTATGTCTGAATTACAATGATGTTTTGAATCAATGCATGATGCTGTCCTTGAACACTCTATGCCACGCCTCAACTATATAATCACATTCTTTGTCTTGTAGGTGGATAATCACAAACTCTGCAATGTCGCCATTTCCTATACTGACTTAAGTGATTGTTAGGAGGCCTAGTTACAATGATAGCCAACATTTCCATGTGAGGTCATGTCCTAGGAATATACTTTGTTCAAACTTTTTGCCTTTTCAAAAAACTGATTCAATCAATTGATCTCTATACATATCCCAAATTAGCAACGATTAAGGTCATTTCAGAGTAATGTCTTTGCCAAACTATACTTCAAAATAAATAAAGCGAGAGTGCTCATTATGAGAGTCTTAATAAGGTTTCGAATATAGAGTAAATCTTTTCTGAAGGAAAATTCAGAGGGTGAAAAACTTGACTTTTATTTGGGCATAACTTTTTTACTTCTATGAAAATATATTCAAAATTTACAGGTAACTGAAAAAGGTAGGTACACGTAAGGTATCCCATATTTAACACACGCACACATAGAATAAAGACCTGAAAAAAAAAATTTACTTGTCAGTATTTTGCAAATATTCTTCATTGAACAACAGTAACTTTATAATGAGAAAAAGAAACAATTAAAAATAAGTAACTATAGTGTTCTTTGAAAGTCACTATTGACTTAGTATAGCTCATCTTTACCGTGGGTACCTCTCTCATATCCACTATATTATTTCCCATTAGATGGAATCTATATGAACTATTAATGTAAAAACTGAATGAAAATAAATTACATAACTTGTGCTATTTGTATCTTTTTAAAACAAAAGTGACACGACAAAACATATAAGACCTGTTCCCTTCCAAATGAACATTTCCAGGCTTTTCCCTAAGAGGTCACTGCAATCTAAACTGCGTAGGACCACTGTGACATTACTATCTGTACAATTTGTGACTTGACAGTCCACACCACACAAGCACTTTCTACTATAGCAAAACAATTATTGCAAGGTCATGATTTATTTCTTTAAAATTTAAAAGTCAACTTTACTGAGGTATAATTTACATACAATAAAATATAGCTATGCTAAATTCTGACTGGCTCTAACCAACCGCTGATATGCTTTCTGTCTATATAAACAGACTGGGAGTTGTTTTTAAATGCAGACTTTAAAAAGTCCCTTTAGTACTTGTTGTGAGAATGTCCTCTTTACTGAGATTCCTGGATAACCGATCCTTCACTATAGCTGTTTCTCTAACAGTGGTGCTAGACAGCAGATAGCAAAACGAGAGCTCTTGACCAGTAAGGCATGAGAACTGAGTACTTTTCTGTATTGCAAACTGTTCTATTTGTGGGAACTGACCCATTAGCACATTTGGCAAAGTTGCAACCAAAAAGCATATTTAAAAATAACATTTGATGACATGTTGATGGGATTAAATTGTGTATTTTCCATTTCATACATGTGTATATGACCTTCAGGGCAATTGGGGGGGGGGGTGGTCTTCGAGGGCATGAACATTTTTGCATGGGCTGTTTTGTACCAAAAGCATATATCTGATATAGGGCTGCCACCACATAACTTCAGTATAGAATATAGTGAATTACATCCAAACAGATGACCATGGACTTCTCATTTTAATGCTCAAATCGAATATACTAACAAGCCATAGAGCACGGAAACAAGTTACAAAGAAATGTTCTTGAACTTGCCTTTATCTGTGCCTGTTCTCTAGGAACGTACTACCAGTTCTTTCAATACAGACCTCTGCTCCCTAATACCATAATTAAAATGGGTCGCAGTCAGGAAGGTCAAGTAAAGTGTGCAATGAGTTTTAAGATCTCACCTGAACTCTTCTGGTTGGTGACTGGCTTGCCTTCCTGAGACACGACGTGCTGGAACACATGCTGAACACCCTGTACCGTGGCCCTCTTCAGACACATGTCCAGCAGGTCATGGGTGGTCCCGACATTCTGGGCAAGTACGAACTGGGGGTCGGAATTCAGTCTCTGAATCAAAGCAGCTACCTTCTCCGAATTCAGTCCTGCTGGAAAACCAAACGGGATTATTATAACACCAAAAAGAGACTGAAGAGGGCTGATTCGGGACTCCCACATCCCGGTTCTTAACTTTGAAAGAGCAACCTGAGTTAATCCCCGCAGTGGAGAAGCCCTTTACCGACGTCCTTCCCCAAGATGCTGCCTCCCTCCCTGCCGCTCCGGCCTGCCCAGAAAGCTCCATCCCCGCCATCCCCCCCTCCTTGTCCTAGCTCCGGCCCTTCCCCGCCGCCGGCTTCAGGGGCCCAGCTGAGCCCCTAGAGAACACCCCAGCAAAGACCCGGAGGGGAAGAACGGCGCCTCACCTGCTAAGTTCATGGCGACCACGCTGCCCCGCGGGGAAACGGTAGTTTTCGCGGTCCTCAGGCGAGTGCCGAGGTTGCACACCCACACCGGCTGGCTGCCTGCGCGTCCCGACCTGCCCCTCGCACCCGGAGCGCCGGAAAGAGGAAAGGGGACGGTGGCGGCGGAGCGCGGAGACTGAGATAAACGGGGTCCGTGGAGGGACAAAACTCCCACCCTCGCGTTGCTAAATCAGCGCCGGAGGGGCTGGCCCCGCCCGGAGGGGGGCTGGCCCCGCCCGGAGGAGGGCTGACGGGGGCCGGCTCGCTGACGTGCTTTGTCCTGCTCGCGTCGCCGCCCCGGGCGGCTTCCGAGACTGTTCTGGCCCTCGCTCCCTCGCCCGGCTGCCCACAGTCCTCCCGGGTGGCGCCAGCGCCTTCAGCCAGCAGTGATCCTGCTTCCTAGCCACCGGGGCGCCCTACTGGGAATCGGCCTGCTACGCTGGGAGAACCTGAGGGGCTCCATGCTGGGCCCAGAGCCCGAAGACTCTAAGCATTGGGGAATTGACCCCATTAAGCCTTTTCAGAAGACAAAAGGGGGCTCTAGGCGGTAGGGCGGAGCCGAGGGGCCTCACATAAAAGCACAAGGCTTAGGATGAGTTGACTCATCACAAAAAATGTACCCAAAGGCTCTTTCTGTGGGCAGCCTTAGCTGACCAATCACTGCATTTTCAACAGCAACTTGTTGCTTGGATTCTAGTCAGAACTAAGTTCTTGAATTTGAGAGGAAATTGGTACTAAGCTCTTTCTCAGCCACTCAGAAGCTACTACCACGTTCTACAAATATGCATCTGCTCATTTCAAGAAAACTATCCATTCTAGGCTTCATGAAGTCTGTGTCTTCTACCTAGCCCAACATGTACTGTGGGGTTAACTAAGGGGAATGACAGAGGTCAGTCTTAAACATTAATGCTCTTTTGCCAGACCTTCTACAAAATCTGCAAATGACTCCCCATCCATCCCTGCTGTCAAGATAACACAACGGTTTTCCAAAGTTTTGAGATTGTGAAGTACTTCTATATTGTTTTTTGTGTTGTGAAATCTCACCCTTGATAAGATGTTGGGATGGGAAACACAGGTGATAAATAAAAATATACCTGCCTTACCATTGAAAACCCTGACTCTGCTGCTCACAACAGTGAGTCTTCTGTGGAACCTAGAATCTAGGTCTTAGCTTGAAAGTCATCACTGGTTCCAAGGAACTCTAATATCTAGAAAAATCAAGACACCGATCAGTCATTTGAGAAATCAATCTCTATGTCCCTAGAGAGACCCAGCAAAAGTTTGAGGATATGACATAACACCTATCTCCTATTCTGAGATTCTTCCACTGTCTAAAAAAAAAGAACAGGCTGAAAATTATGCTGAAAGAAATCATTGGTCCTCTCACAAAATGATGTTCAAGCATCCTGCCAAACTCAACTCACTATCTACCATGTACCTTGGGCAAATTGCTGATAATATGGAGACTAACAAAGCTTAGTTTTGCCCTTAAGAAACTCACAAGGTAGTAGGAAAAATGCAAAATAATACCATAGAAACAGGAAGGAGAGAGCTGTTAATTAGGGCCAGAGGTGCCTGGGGAGGGGAAAAGTGACAAGTAAGCACAATTTTAAAGAGTGGATGGGGATTGTACAAGGCAAAGAGAAAAAAAAAAAAAAAAGAAGCAGAAGAAGGGCATGCAAGGCACCAGCAAAGGCACGGAGAAGTCAAAGCATGAGGTAAAATCATGTTCAAAAAACTGTGCATCATAGTTTGATGTGGTTAAGAGCAAGGAAGGTGTTGAGATCTGGGGCAAGGTGTAGAACTAGAAAAGTAGGTTTGAATCAGGATATGATGGGTTTTATATGTCGTACCTGAGCATCTGGACTTTATCCTACGGTTAATTAGAAGCCAAAATAGGTTTTTAAATGAAGGAGTAATATACTCAGTTCTGAGTAAAGAAAGAAACTCAGTAGCAGTGGAGAGGGTGATTTGGAGGGCAGAGATTCTGGAGATAGGGAAACTAGACTATTCTAACTAGTAGTTCCTTTGGGAGATGACAAAAGCCTTAAATTGTAGAAAGACAAATTTCCTGCCGCCCTGGTGCTTACGTTCTAATGGGAGAGACAGATAAACAAATAAATGCAGATAATTCTAATAGATGTATAAGGAATATAAAACAGATAATCTGGAAGTTTTCATTTGAATGGGAGGCTGGACAGTGGTGTCTGGGAGAGACAGGTAAACAAATACATGCAGATAATTCTAATAGATGTATAAGGAATATAAAACAGATAATCTGGAAGTTTTCATTTGAATGGGAGGCTGGACGGTGGTGTCATCAGCCAAGAGAGGGACTATAGAAAAATAGATATATTTGGGAGTGTGTGAGTGAGCAAATAATGAATTCAGTTTTGGACTTGGCAAGTTTGGGGTACCCACAGGACACCTAGGAAGAAAAGTCCAGGAGGCAGATGAAAAGACGTGTAGAGATTAAGTAGAACATATCAGTCTTAGAACAATGAAGGCAACAAGTTTGTGAAGAGAAATAAAGCAAAAAATTGATGAGGACCGAGAACTGCACCCTGGGTGGCAGCATGCAATTGTACAGGGTGTTCATGGCACGAGGGTAGCAGGCTGAGTGGGGTGGATGGGCTCGAAGTCCAGTTCAAGCTCTAATTGCTAAGCCATGTACTCTGGTCCAGGACCATACTAAGTCAGAGTATGGTGCACCTTTTACTACTGCTTACAAAGATGCCACATGGGGGTATCATTAGCTCTGGAAACAATAACATTTAAAGAGTGAGTGAAAGCAAAGGAACGAGCAGAAAAAGACAGAGCAGTCAGAAGGTAGGAGAAGGCCTCGAGAGTTATGTCCTAGAATCCCAGGAAGAGAAGGAGAAGTTGGTGAATGGGAATGAAAGCTTCGGAAAGGTAAGATTGAGTTTGGCACACTGGGTGAAAAGGACCTTAGAGGAGCAGCTTCAGTGAAAGAGCAGCGTGGGCAGAAGCCACATTGTAGTAAGTTCAGAGGGAGGAAAATATACAGGAAACTCTTTGGGGCCTAGAAGATGAAAAGCAGAAACCAGAATTAAATATATGCCAGAGAGTGTACAATTGGTAGAATAAGAACCCAGAAAAAAAAGAGGGATGGAATCACTGGAGTGGAGGGGACCAGTTTTACAGCTACTGCCACCCTTTCAAGCCAATGATGACATTTTCCCGCCCCATGCTCAGAGATTCCTATCATCATCATTTTGCCAGTTCTCCTGCTCTGCCCTCATTGTTAGGGTGGCACCCTTCGTACCAGTTTTCCACCCAGCAACACACACCCATGCACTCTTCTGTGTGGGCACAGAAAAGAGGTGCAGAAGAAAACTGGTTTCCCAGTGGGTCCACCCCATATGACCCACCTACAAAGACATTTCCCCAAGAATAGAATTCTTAGTATCTACCCCTTTAACTCTATCCAAAGAAGATGTTTTTAGGTCCTGTGACACCTCATGAAAGAAAGCAACCAGAAACAGAATTCTAGTATGAAATCTACAATATTAGAAAAAAAATTTTTCTAAGTCTTGTAAAGTGGCATTGCCTGCCATTGCAGATAAGCCTTCTGCTTATTGCTTCCATGGGACTCCCCCACCCCCCACCTCAGTTAAAGTAAATGAGGATAGTCTCAAGGCAAATTCTCCATCCTGTGACCCTGCCTCCTTTGCCTTCCACAAGTCTTTACCACGTGTTGGCCAAATGCTTCTATTTTGATGGAAAAGACCAGATTTTTACGCTGGACGGAAGTTTGGACTAGAGTCTAACACAAATATTCTGCAATTCTATGAAACTTATTCACACTTAAGTGTTTCCCCAATTAACTCTGAGATTTACTTTGGTCAGAAAGCTTCCTGATGTTTCACCAGAACTGATAGTAAATTTTGGGTCATACATTGGTGTCCTGCTAGGCCAAATTCAGCACCTAGATGTACTGTTTGGCCTGTGTGGTATTTTAAAAGTGTCAAGCCAGTATTTAGAATTGTGAAATTTTGTATACAAATCTGTGTTGCTGGCTTCTCTTGAAAATATTGTTGTTTCTTCATGATAGTCAAGGGGGCCCACATAATTTTCTTTATATCTTGCTTGCTATACTCATTTACATTTATTGTCTGTGGATACCTAAGTTTTTCAATCCCTGATTTACTGTGACTTAGGTAGAATTTGGAAGGACTACCTGTCTCCTTTACCCTCAATCTCTACCCTTAGCCTCATAATTCCCACCTCCTTGGGATGAGCAAAACTAGCAGGAGCTGACTCCACCAAGTCTTTCAGATACTGGATCCTGGGACTTTCTGGGCCCGAAAAAGCTTATGTGCCTTCACTATAACTTTCCTCCAGAATGTGGAATACACCTGTCTGAGTATAGGTAACTGGCAGCTTTAGGACTTCTACCTTCCCTGCCATTCCTACACTCCATGAGGGCTTAACCCAACCCTTATCTCCCTCTGCTCAGTGAACTTCAGATTCAGATTTTAAGTGTTTCAACATATTTTACTTTCATTGTAAATTATGTATGTTTTTTTTTTTTTTTAATTTTCCAATGTTCTGGAAGGACATTGTTATACCAACAATATTATTCTTACCTCTAGATATGACATTTCTACTACTCGCTGTTCTAGTTGCTAACAATTCAAAGAGCATGCCAGGCAGAGGATGTTTCCTCTACAAAGGTAAAGAGGCATGAGTGGGCTTAAGAATGATTGAGGAACGATGAGAAAGTCTGGTCAAGTTTCGTGAGTATTTGAATTATGCAAATTTGAAATCGTTAATTATAAACTATTAATAACACCTTATTATGTGCACAAAATTTGAAGCAATGTGAAGCCTTCACAATGTTTAACATTCGTCAGGAACTGCATACTTTCAAAGCTGGTGGTTAGCTCAGTGAATTAGAAACTTTAAGCTCTTGCCACATGGCGGAGACATTTTAGCTGATAAAATAGTTTCTTCCCTTCAATAAATTTACATTTATCACTAAATCGTCTTTCTAAATAATATTACTAAATAATCTTGAATTATAGATGTTTTAATTTTATGTGAAGGTTTCAGGAATGTATCCCTTGCATAAAATTCAACTGCACTAGAACTTGATGTGGCGAGAGTATAGAGTAAATGGTAGGGGGAAAGAAGATGTATGAGAAGTGAGAAACGAAGTGGAAAAGA